CTGCTGCCTTAGCTGGCAGGTGACAGCCCCTCACACCTGAGCCCAGCCCCCAACCTGAGCCCGGCCTCCTGCTGCAAACTTCCCTACATCCTCTAGGTCCGAAGGCAGTTAGGTCCCCGAGGATGCACTGTTCAGATCCCTGTGGTAGTGGGCACATCTCCTCACCCCCACCTCTCCTGAGAACTCAGACTCAGAACCAGTCTCAGGTATAGACTGCAGTGTGAAAATCAACTCCTGAGAGCCGTTCCCCCTCCTGCTCTGCCTCTCTTCCTGTCTTGCCCTAGTCCAGGACCCGCCAACCCCTAACACTTCACAGGGCAGCTGGGGTGATTTGCAAGGTCACCGATCCACCAAGTACTATAATGCTGGCCTGCTCTGACCTCTGTGTTCAGACCTGGCTCTCTGCACCCTGCCTGAGTTAGCTCATTTAATCCTAGGGCCACTGCAAGACAGAGATCTCCAGTCACGTGGTCAAGGTCACACAGCTGACTCGGTGGCTCCCACTGTCTCTGGGATACTGTACCAATTTCTAGATGTGCACAGCAGTGGTCCAGGCCTGCCCTTGCTCACCACTCTGGCCATATCTTCCCCAGCGGCCACCTGGAACCCTGCTCCCCTCCATGCCCAAGCGTCTGCAGGCTCCCAGCTGCTCGAGTGCTGGACCCTGCGGCCCGTGGGGGTGGCAGTAACAGCTAATCTGGGTGCGGGCCTTGCTTTGCAAAGCATTTTTGCCTGCACTATCTCATTAAAACCCCACTCCAAGCTGTGTCAGAAGTATTTTTATTATCCCCATTAAAGAGATGAGGAGAAAGACTCTGAGGGAAAGGAGGGCAATGCCCGGGGCCAGGCCCCAGGCCCCTGATGACCAGCCCATGACCCTGGCCGAGCCTGCACCACCTTTGTGCAGAGAGGGACCAGGAATGAAGAACGAGGGGCTGTTCTTCTGAGTCTGGGGAGCCTGGAAGGCCCCTGGAAGCAATTCGTGTTTTCAGGTTTCCCTGGGAGGAGTAAACTGCTTGCTCCCAGGGGCTGTCCCTAGCGGCCCATACATCCGGCCTCGCACCCACCCCAGCATCTGTCCCAGGCCCCACGCTCTTTGGGGACCCCGCTGTGTTCTCTCTCTGGGAACTGGGCCTGATCCTCTGCCTCGACCTTCTCTCTGACTGCTCCCTTGTTCTCCCCGTTATCTCTCTCCAGCACTGTCTGGCTCTCTCTCCATGGCCCCTTGCTCCTTCTCTGGATCCCCACTCTGTCATTCTGTGTATTGTTCTTTCTCTTTCCCCGGCTTCTCCGGCACCCCTTCCCCCACCCCTGGTCGCCACCCGGCTCAGCCCCTTCCACCCTTCCAGAGCACTGTTATCTTACTCACACCTCACTGAAGTGTCCTTCAGTGCTGGCCTGGTGGCTTGGGTCTCCAGGTTGGAAATACCATCATTCTTCTCTTGTGACCGGTCAGGGAGGAAGAAATGGAAAATATGAAAAAAGAAAACACAAGAACTGTTTTGTCAGCTCGGAACCAACACGTAACAGCGTTTTAGGACTATTTTCTGAAAAGAACCTCTTCTTATGGTGCTGTCACAGTGGAGGCCGGGCCCCGGTCAGCGGTCAGGGTCCTCTCCCTGCGGTGGCAGCCCTGGAGCTCCCGTGGCCGGCCGCCCGAGCCTGGCGGGTCTGCCCGTGACCCGGATGCGTCCCGGGCACTCCTGCTCCAGCATTCCTGCTTAGGATGGTCCTGACCTCCAGCTGTGGGGCTGAGGTCCAAGGCCTCCCGGAGTTTGTGAATTCCTCGGGGGCTCTCCCTGGGGTGTGTGTGTGTGTGTGTGTGTGTGCGTGCGTGCGCGCACGTGCTCTTCTTGGCCTCCAGCTCCCTGTCGTTGACCTTGCCTCATCTGCTTCACACCATGTCAACTTGGCCATGAGAATCAGCCCCGGCTGTGCTTCTCCCTGTCCCGGATCTTCCCCAGCAGGGGGAAGTTTACCGGAGATGGCAGGGCAGGGGGAGTTGGGTTCCCACAGCAGCCAGGAAAATGACCACCGTCTGCAGGTTTTCTCTCCACGGAGGAGGCCTAGTCCCCACCTCCCTCAGTGCCCCTCCACCTCCCGAGCTCCTCACCTCTCTTCCTCCCTTCTCTCGATTCCCTCTTTCTCTGGCCCTCCTTTTCAGGGACAAAAGGACCAAACTCCTCCCTTGATCATAAGGAGCATCTTCCCCGCACCTCCTGTGAGGAGGGAGAAGGGGGTTTCCCTTCCTACCTCCAGCCCAATGGAGGCAGTCTTCCAAAGATGTTGCCCCTCCTGTTATGCAAATAGGAACAGTGAGGTCCAGAGAGGGGCAGAGCTTGCCCAAGGCCACACAGCAGGCCATGGCAGTGCTGAGGCTGGAGCTCAGGGCCATGGTCCTCGTTGCAGGGGGGCGGGCGCCGGCTGAGGGTGTCTCTGTACGGTTGGGTGGCAGGGCTGTGGATGTTCAGGGGCGGGAAGGAGGGGATCAAAGAACATAGAAAGATGGAGAAGGAGTAAGGGCACAGAGGCATGAGAGAGCAACAAAGACAGACAGACAGACAGAGGCAGAGGGATAGAGAGATGGCCGGTCGGCCAGCCTCTAGCCTGTGGTGGGGATCCCCTGTCCACTGAGTTACCCCGTCACACACCTCCCACGTCAGAGAACTCACTACCTCCTCAGCCGTGTGACCTGCTTCTGGCGTGGGGTCGGGGGGCGGGATGTATGGGCCGCCAGGGGCACCTCCTGGGAGCTGGAAACTCTTTCCCGATGGGCTCAGAATCTACACAGAGAAGCCTTCTGCCTGGGGCAGCCCTATAGAGCTTTGGAATCTCATGATCACGTAGCAGACGTGATCCAGTTTCTCTCCAGTAGAGCACTGTAGCGGGAGCCTGCTCAGAGCAAGGGACTGGGCCTGTCAGGACAGGAGAGGGGGCCAGGGCTCCCCGGTTAGGAGTTGCAGACACTCGCGTGTACTAGGTACAAACACTTGAGTGTTCCCTCTTGCCACCCGCTTGTCCCCTCAGTCACCCATTCCATCGTGTCTGAGCCCTGTTCCTGGCCACACCTTCTTCTCCAGGGAGCAAGGGCAAGGGCTCACTCTCTCACTGAGCTTCTAGAAAGGTAGATGACAGGAGCCTTTTTTCTTGAAAACAGCTGGTGTGTGAGGGGCAGAGAACACAGGGGATCACAGGCCCCCACAGGCTGTCTCAGACCATTGATGTCAGCCCCACAGACCAGTGTGGCCGTGGGGGCAGAGGGCAGGCAGGGCCTCTTCCTGCACCCCATCCAGAGTCCGGCGAGTGGGACAGAGGTCAGGGCAGGCTGCATGACATGAAAGAGGCTCACCACACTGGGCCTCGGATGGGTCCTGACCTGGCCTACCTGGTCTGTGACATGGGGATGCAGACACCCCCTTGCCCTCCTCATAGGCTACAGCCCACACGTGCTCGCATAGCCAAGTGAAAGTGAAGAGAGTGGTCTAGGAGCTTGACTACTTGGCTTTCCGTCCTGGCACTAGCATTTACAAGCTACGTGATTGTGGTCAAGTTGACCTGTGTGCGTGTCGGTTACCTTGTCTGCAAAGCAGAGATAGGGAAGAAGAGCTGTGAGAATGAGGGGGTTCAGCTCGTAAAGGCTCAGAACATTGCGCATCATAAATGCCCCGGCTGCGTTACCAGCTTTATCTGGAGGCGGGCCCACCACGGGCAGCCCGTGTCAGTCCCGGTAGGAGCCGGGCAAGAACCCGTCGACCATGGCCAACGTGTCGCCGCTGCTGAAGGGTCTGTGGTTTCAGAACCCAGGGGGGCCTCTCCCCTCCCCACCCCTCAGGTCCCGGGGGCTGTCTTCCTTTGGGGAACTTGCAGCAGGCGCAGCGGGTGGAGACCCCAGCCCACTAACCCTTGAAGTATGGCGTATGTTACAATAGAGAAGGACATTTTTTCTCTTTAGTCTTCCCCCCTCCCCCCGCTCTTCTTCCTTTCCTTCCCCCTTGACTCGGCCATTTTCCCACAAGTACCCGGTAGATGTCAAATCCCATGCTCGGGGCTGACAAATCAGAGAGGAGCAGCCGTGGTCCTGGCCCAGGTAGGTGAGGGCAAGGGCAAGCACGGGCAGCGCATTTCAGCATAACCCAAGTGCGCAAGGAACAGGTGCTGTGGGACCGGAGGGGAGGAGTGGCGAGCTCAGCTTAGGAGCTCAGGCTCAGTGAGGCAAACACCACCGGGGCTGGGTCATGCAGGCTGTGTAGGAGCCCCCCAGAGCAGTGTGCCAGGAAGGGATGGAGGGGCGGACAGATGGTCAGTGTGGGGGAATGCAAGTGCAGAGACAAGGGAGGTGAAGGGTAAGGTGCATTCAGGAAGCACTGAGGCAGACAGTAATGGGAGAATAGGAGGTTGAAAAGGAGAGGAATTAGGAAAATGTGAACCTCATACTGGAGATACTTCTTGGTGGGGAGGGGCCAGGTCGCAGAGAGCTTTGTGTGACCTTGACCTTTGTCCTGGGAATAGTGGGGACACATTGGTGAGATTTAAAAGCAGGGGGATACGTGGTCATTTTGGTGGTTTATGGACCTCGCTTTGGCTGTGGGGGTGGGGTGGGAGGGGACTGGGGCACAGCTGTAGGCAGCCGTGGTTCAGACAAGGGTGAGGAGGCCTGGCCTGGGGTGCAGCAATGGCGGTGGGGAGAAGTGAAGGAATGGTTGGTCTGGGCGATTGAGGGGGTGAGAGAAAGGAGGCCCTCAGTGTGAATCCCAGATTCTAGCTCATTCTGGCTGGCCAGGGCTGTCTGGATCCCACTTGGAATGAGGCCTCTCCAGTCACTGGATCCCTGCCTAAGTACCCCCGCCCACCCCCCAAATCTGCGCAAGCTTTTGCATGGAAAATGGGCCCATTCCAGTTCCTCCACACCACTGTGTCTGGGCTTGGACCTCCCAGCAGAGTGATTTCCCTCAGTGGTCCCTGGTGGGGGTGGGGGAAGCCATCAGCACTCAGAGACACCGTCCCGCTGAATTTATAATGTCTTTTATTAATATATTATGCTACAAAAATATTTTTGGCAAAATAACATTAATAGCATCTTTCTTTGTCTTCTATATTCTTAAAGGACTCTTCATGATAATTCACAGAGGTGAAGGGAAGAGGTGGTTAAAAGAACAACATCACCAATACCTTTCAAATACATTAAGATCTGAAGCTTGTGTCACAAAATGAGTCAGCTGGGGGACCTTCTGCAATCTCTTTGAGGCCCGGGAATGGGGCAAGAGTTCCAGCTGCCCCTGCTCTGGCCTAGAACCTCCCTTGGCCAAGAGTTAGCCCCTGCTGCCCCAGCCCCTGGGGCCCAAGATGTCTCACAGCCTCCCTGGAAATGTCTTAGATTCAGGTCCCATCCAAAGCCCACTTTCCCTGAAGCAGGTCTGGGAGGGAGCAACCTTTAAGGCATGCTCCTCTGTCACCCTGGCCTGTCTGCGACATGCTCCCAACCCCAAGGCGGTCTGTGGGGCCTGGGAGGAAAGCTGAGCACGGAGCCTGAGGAGGGGTGGTGCCTCACCTTCACGGAGCCCTGAGATTGCACACAGCATTCCTCCAGCCCCCAGAATGGCCTGGGCAGGAAACAAGGTCTCCATTTAATCAGAAAGGAGCAGGGGCTTGCCCAAGGTCACCTAGCAAGGTGAAGGAGTATCCAGAGCACCTCTGGAGAGGAAGAGCCAACATTTGGAGAAAGGATGGGGAGGTCTGAGGGTGTGCCCATACTCCCAGGAAAGGGCCAAGTAGGGGGTCGATCAGTCCTCGTGACCCCTCTCTTCCATCCCCCATGGTCGGGGGCAGGGAGGGAAGGAGCTCTGGCTGGGGTCAGGGGCCCTGGGTTCCAGTCCAGCCCTCCCCCACCACCCAGAAGTCTCCCTGCCTCAGGGTAGCCGGCAAGCCTGCCAATTTACTTCAGGCCTGGCTGGGCTCTTGAAGAACAGGGGTGTGAGGCTGGATGGATTCCTGAACCTTACTGGTTTAGACGGCCAGCCTGGGTGATGTTTTTGGCTGCTTAGATGAATTTTTGGAAAAATAACAATGTTCAAAGAACCTGAGCATTACAGAGCCAGGAGGGACCCTCAATGTCATCCACACCAATCCCTTGCCAAGACTTCAGCTCTCATACCACATCTCCAGCTGGCGGGCCTATGCCCTGCTCACACCTCTGCTGACAGCAAACTCACCACCTGCAGGGGACAGCTTTGGCTTTGTAGAGATTATTCCACTGCCAGAGCTGAGGTCTTTGTCTCTCCTTGCCTCTCTTCATTCCTTCCTTCCTCCTTTCCTCTCTACACATCTACTGAGTGCCATCTTTGTGTCAGATGAGGATCCAAAGACGAATTTACATGACCCCTGCCATCAAGGAGCTCGTGGTCCGGTAGGAGACCAGATACACTATTATAGTCTCAACAGTGATCAGTGGGTGTTGTGACAGATGCTAAAAAAGCAAAAGAACATCACAGGGGGCTTCCTGGAGGAAGTGCTATCTGAGTTAATCCTCAAAAAATGAGGACTTGGGGAAAGAGAAGGGAGTTTCCAGACCCAGGGAGTGGCACATGTGGAACAACCTGTCTATTCTAGAAATGACAAATAGGATTTAGTCTGGCCAGGCACAGAGTAGGAGAGATGGGTGACATGGCTGGCAAAGTCAGCAGGGCCTGATCATGGAGGGTCTGGAAGGCCAGGCCGAGGACTCCTGCTCTTAACCCACAGTCGCTGGAACAGTATCATGAGCCCCAGTTCGTTCTCGCCACATGGGACACCATCAGAGTGGCAGTTCCCAGGTGGAGCCTCTCTTGTCTTTCGTGGTGGTTTTCTTAAACGTGCCTTTTGGTGGAGGACCATTCTTTGGGATCCATTGTAACAAGGGCACTGGGCTGGAGACTGGGCAGGTGGAACTGGGGTCCCGAGCCCTGAGGCTTGCCCGGGCCTAGCTAGGGTGAGGCAGGAGATGGCAGAGCATTGCATATGAGAAAAATCAGCTTGTGGTTATTTGGCGCAAAAGCAAATTTGCCAGTCAGTGCAAGTTTCCGTGCTTCATCCACTCCGGGTCTTTGCATCTCAGCTGGAGGGGCCCGTGGTGGCCCTTTGCAGCTCCCTGCAGCCTAACATCTCCACTGTCCCTGCCTTCACCTGGCTGCTGGTGCGTCAGAACAGCCTGGAGGAGGACTGGAAGGACGTGGCCATGCTGGCAGCTTCCAGAATGCCCCTGGGCCGTTCGGTCAGTTTTCCTGAGACGGGAATCGAGGGTCACCACTGACATGCTGCCTAACCTCGGGCAGGTCACTTAGCCTGCTGGGTCTCAGTCCTTCCATCTTCTCTGCCACCTGAAGGTCAACCATGAAAGCCCTAAGAAATGTACACGGGGCTCTCAGAGCAACAGGGGCTTTTTATGAGGACAGGCACATAGAACATGCTGGAAAAATGTCAGCAGTGGTGGATAGATATCCAAAGTGTGTAAGTGGCTACGGATGGCGTGGTGGTTCCCTGGCTCGGGATGAGAGAATTCAGTGTCCCAGCCGTGCAAATTTCCACAGACATGCCTCAGGTCTTCTGGGATGTAGGTTTGTTTCCCACCCCGGCCGGTGGGTGGGCTGCAGGGATCCGTGAGCTCAGGCTGTAGACGTCCGATCGACATCGGCTCCGGCTGTCCCCTTGGCACTGGCCTACCTAATCAGCCGGCCCGCCCCTCTGCCGCCATCCATCTTTCTTTAGACACTTGAGCGCTTGTTGGAGGGAACGTTTGGAATCTCCTAATCTCTCCAGAGGATGGATCTGGGGAAGACTAGGGCTGAATCTGTCTGTGGTCAGGGGCCTGGGTAGGATAACCTCTAAAGTTCCTTTTAGGAACCTACGACTGGGCTGCTTGCTCCACCTTGATGATGAGGGGCTCCTCTGGGCCAGGAAAGGTGCACAGAGGAGGTCTTAGCACCTCACTGGGCACCGTGCGCGCACGCTCGACTGTCACACGGTGGGTTGATTCACCTCTCTGGGCTCGTGCCCGCCACAGAACTGGGCATGCAGTCAGGTACCTGGACTGTTCGCTCAAATGTCTCATCTTTAATTCACCTCAAGCTTCGGCTGAGTGCATCTCATGCCACACACTGCACTGAACTGAGGGAAATCTGGCTTCTAATTCCTTGACACTTATCTCATCTACAGAGCGCTCCACGCCATCTGTTTGATGTCCAACAGGCCTTCCGAGCCTGCTTTAGAAGTCAGCGAAGCCCCTTCCCACTCAGAAATAGGAAGTCACATTTCTGCCAAAGATAAACGGGCTCCAGCCCTGGTTGGGGTCAAGTTCAGTTTACAACGTGATGCCCATGGGGCTGGCTGGATCCTCTGAAGCAGATCTCAGGACTCCTGCCAGGTCTTAAGCTCAAACATGTCCATCCAGGGCCGAGATGAAAAGAAGTTAGCTGCTGGCCAAGATGCTCACAGGACCTCTGGCCATCCAGAGCTGTCCAAAATTCTGTCTCAGAAGGGAGACAGCTGCCAGGCTGGGCACAATGGCATTGGGGCTAATCAGCCAGTACCAGGCCTGCCAGGGAAACCCGGGGTGTGGAGCACTGGGCTGGGGGTCAGCAGACCGGCCAGCTGTGCAGCCTTGGGGAAGTGCTTCTCCTCTCTGGGCCTCATGATTATTATTGCCGTTCTTATCTGTCAAATGAGGGGCACTTTCTGCTCATGGGTTCCAAAACTCTGTAACTGATGAGCCACCAGCCCAGTGGGGATTTAGGGCTAGGAGGCAGCCAACCTCGGTCCTCTGCTATCTCAGCTACCACCCTGGAGGCAGAGGAGTGAGGTCAGTTTCCCTAAGTCTCAGTTGCCTGCCTGCCCAGATTCCCCCACCCACCAGCCTCTGATTTGATAGGAAAGCCTCTCACTGGCTCCAAGATAAGACAAGCTGGGGCATGGGACACGTGGTCCACACTGTTGCCAGAGCCCTTCGTTCAGAGGGGCCAACATGAGTGACTGTGGCCAATAGGTCTCTTTGGTTGGAGCAAGGAGCTTGTACTGGCCCATTTGGGTGAGATCTGCCTTCCTTGGAGCTTCCCTGTGCAGCAAGAACATGGCAAAATATGGTCCAGGGGACAAGCATCGCTTCTGAATCATACTGATCGGGGGTCATGTCCCAGCCAGGTGACCTTAGGCAAGTCCATTTATCCATTTGGGGGGCTCAGTTTCCTCATCTGTGAAATGCGGACAATCACATCTCACAGAACTGGCATGAGGATCAGTGATAAAGTGAGTGTGCAAAATGCCTGCCACACTGCAGGCTTTGGACAAATGGTGGCTTACATTAGGATTATTATTACCATGCGACTCCTAGAGCCTCAGTCCCTAAAATTGCCTTTTTGTGCCCATGCCTGTCCTTTGGCCCAGCTCACTCTGTTTGGCCGTGACTTCAACAGGCTCTTCTATAAGCCAGGCTTATAGAAGATTAATGAAACCAGAACAGAGAGGTCCGGATTCACACCCCAGCTCTCCCACTTACTGCATGACCTTGGGCAACCACCTTCTTCTCTTTGGATCTCAACTTAACCATTTGTCACAGAGGGCTGGGGGATATCCCCCCTCAGCACCACCATCCCTCCCCCAACCCCGTGCTTTGGTCCAAACACTTACCAAGAGCTCTGGAAGGCCAGTTCACAGACACTCAGGGCTTTCAAAATAGCAGCATTCTTTCCTAAAGTATCTTCCCACCCTAGGATGCATCCAGGGGAGGGAAGGATCGTCAGCGTTCACATCTCTGGCTCCCAGATCCAGCTTCACAAAAGCTAAGCCTGTCTGCCTGCCCCTCTCTCTGAGATCCCCATGGTGGGAGAAGCCAAACCCAGACACTGGAGGCTTCTGCGGGTCTAGGAGCAAGCCAGTTCAAAGCCACGGTCTGCCTGAGGTTTGCAGACATCCTGGCAGCCTGGGTTCACTTCCTGGGTTGGCACTGGGGCTACTTAAAGGGTTAACATAGGCCACATAAAAATAGTTTTATCGGTAGAATAAATACACTTTTCTTTTTTAATATGGACACATATTTTACAAAAGAGCCCCATAGCACTATGGGAAATTAAGATCCTTCTACAAAAAAGAAGATGTAACTTGGGTACAATAAAGCTCTAGTGTTCTAACGGATCCCGTCTGGACTGCCCGTGAGGTGTCAGGCACCCTGGACGTGGGGGCAGGGGCAGTGGGGTGTAGCCACAGACCCTCCTGTGGTTTCTCTGGCTTCTCTGCACTGGTGGCCAAAGTCAGGAGGGCCCAAGGGCGAGCCGCAGGAGGGGGGCGGCAACACTGGCCAGGATGGCGGGGAGGAGGCCCAGAGTGGGCTGGGGGCGACAGGGCGCAGAGCTGCTGGTGGGGCCAGGCTCTTCCCGCTGCTGAAGCCGCTCTGAGGGCTGCAAGGGGGGCCCTGCTGTCCCGGAGCTGTGCGTAGGCTGCAGGGGCGGCGGGGGCGGTGAGGCGGCCGTGCTGGAGGGAGAGAGAAAGCAGGAGAACCGCGGGGTGACCGCTCAGTAGCCTCGTCCTGGGCTGTGGCCTGGGGTTCTAGGCCACTTTAGGGAATCTATTTTCTTATAAATGGAGAAGGAGATGAGGGGTTGCGCAGGGAAAGTGAGCGGCCCAGATCCACACAGCCGGCTGGCTGCGCTCCCGAGGCTGCAGGCCTCAAGTGTGACCGCTCGACACAGGTCCCAGGGCAGAAAGGATGAAAGTGCCACGGAGGAGCTGGGTCTGGGGTCACGCTGGGGCAGTCAGCCTCCAGGCCTGTGTGCGCAGGCGCTCTCCTGCCACCGTCCCCACCCAGCCCGAAATCGACGGGAAGCCAACCACACAGACCACCCCATCATCTCCCGGCCCTCCTGATCACAGCTCCCAGGTCCTGAGGGTCTCTCTGGCCTCAAAACCCACCTTCACAGTGGGTCTCATCGCCCCCTTCCCCCAGATGAGAGGGCCGGGGCTCGGGGAGGCTACATGGCACCAGGTCCCAGGAGAAGCAGGGACAGACCCAGGGCAGCCCTGGGTCAGCCGCCCTCTACACAAGTCCAGGGAGGTTGAGGGAAGCCTGTGATCCTTCATGAACTCATAAGAAGAGAATCCAGTTTTGGAGGGAATGGGTGAGATCGTTGGCTCAAGAGAACCTATGAAAGAGAGAGGCAGGGAGAGAAGGAGGGCGGAAGAGACAGAGAAATAGGGAGATTGAGTGCGGAACGAGCCTGCTGGCTGAGGCCAGCGCCTGGTGCCGTGGGGAAGTGCAGGGGAGGACAGGGGCCAGGTGGGGTGCAGGATCAGGAAAGCGGCTCAAGTCCTGGAAGGAGAGAGAGAGAGCACATGGTCAACAAAGAGAGGGCCAGGAACAGAGGAAGAGAGGGGACAAGGACAGACAAGGACACAGGCATAACCCAGAGCCATAGGGGTAGAAGGCTCCAGGATGAAGAAAGAGTTGGAGCCCCAGGGGTGCTGGGCCCCACCTGCTCTCGTGGAGCCCTGGGTCGGGGAAGCAGGTGGAGATGCAGACAGAGGACCTGACAAGTCCCTTCACAGCAGGGGTGCAAGGGTGGGAGGGGAAGCCGGGCAGGGGGCACCAAAGAGGGGTCCGTCTAGGGCAGGGCCAGGAAGTCCTCCGGGAAGAGGTGACACAGCAGTTGGCCTGAAGACGGAGTCTACCTTGCACGTGGCTGAGGGTGCCCCTGGTGGCCAGAGAAATACTTACCCCCAGCCTGTGGCAGCTCTGGGCCAGCACCTAGTATATACCTCATGGCAACACTATGAGGCAGGTCCGACTCTTATCCCCATTTTACTTAGGAAGAAACTGAGGCAGGAAGAGGTTAAGTAACTTGCTCCAGGACTCACAAGAAGGCTGGGATCTGAACCAGGCACACAGTAGGTGCTCGCTAACAGTTGATGCACGGGCAGGAAGCTTGCCCTTCCCTGGGTGTCTGCGGTGTGAACAGCCTCCTCCATATGGGACGCTGCCCCGTTTTCCAGTGCTTACTGCCCCTCCCCAGGAGGCTGCTCACTCGCTGGGTCCTCAGGGAGTCTCCTGCTCTACCTTGGCCTGCCCTTCCATGGGCTCGGCACAGGGTCCCAACAATTGGCCATAATCACTGTGAGCTCTATGATCATCACCACCAAGATCCAGCCCCACTGCCATCCCGGCCAGATGCCTCTCACACAGCCTGGCTCAGTCTCAGCCTGGGTGGGTGTACAGGGGAGCCCAGGGGAGCCCAGGGTCACCACGTACACCCCTGCCTCCGAGTGGGCTGGGACCTCTGCTCTGGGAGTGGGTGTCCACATGTCCTCAGTCAAGAAGGTCCTCGCTCCTGGCCTGTCCCTCATTCTCTATTCCTGGTCATGCTCCAGCCACAAGAACCTGCCACTTCCTCACATGAGGTTCTTCTCAGCCTGGCATCTACAGTTGTCCTGTACTATGTTCCTCTGTCTTTAGAAACTCCTAGAGGGGCTATCAGGAGAGGAGGGAGCAACAGCATGTCATGCACCATGGACAGAGGGAAGATGCTCCTGGATAGAGAGTGTGCCTGTGGAACAGAAGAGGGGTAGACCAGGAGGCTTTGACTGTCGCCGACGACACACAGTATCTGGCAGATGATGCCCCAGCCTGTAGCTGCCGGCCGAGCACCGAGACCCCTCATGCAGTCGGGGCTGGCCGACTTCACCTTCCCTGCTTCTGCCAGCACGCGTCACCCTGTCCAGTCACACTGACTCCTGCTGCCATTTCCCACCCACGTCTGGAGGCCTGGCTCAATGTCCCCTCTCTTGGAGGCCTCTCTGGTGGGTTCTCCTTCCCCTTAGGCCTCCGGGGAGAGTTAAGTTTCCCAAGGAACCTTGTGTGTATCTTACTGATGCTGCCGGGTCCTACACAGGTACCTATTTCTGCAGAGGAGGCCTGAACGGGCTCCTGAGTGGGAAGTGCTTCGAGCAGCGCCCCGCGCGCTGGAAACACGACACGGCTTCGTGTTTAGCATCATCGTTCGAATGTTTGTGTGTGTAGCTCTCCTGCTAACAGCGTCCTCCATTTGTGAAGCGCTTCCTAGGAGCCCGCAGAAACTGCGATGCTGTACACGTGTCCCCTCATTATCCCCATTATCCCCATTTCCAGGATGAAGGGACAGCCTGCAGGGGATCGGGATGCAGAGACGCACCCGTCGGAGGGCACAGGGGTCAGCGTGGCGCTTCCTGCTGAGACCTGGAGGAACTGTGTGTGGAGGCTCGCCGGAGTGGGAGGTGAGGCCCATGTGGCCTCGGCCCCGGGAGGGTCATGCCTGTGCCCAAGCCACTACCTGAGCCCCTTCTCTCCCTTTCTCTAATGAAGAGAAACTCCACACGCTACACAAAGGGTCCACGACAGTCCCTTCCTAGTGCCTGCCCTGTCCTTTCAGCCTGAGCAGCCAGGAGGCTAGGAGGCCCAGCCTGAAGAGAGGAGGCTCTGTGCCACTTGGGGTGCCCAGAGAGGGGCCCAGACTGGCTGCAGCCAGCCCTGCCATCACAGGGGAGATCAAGTAGGAGTTATGAAAATTATGTCTCGCAAGATGCCCAAAGGCATTTGCTTTCACACTTTGAAAACCGAAGATGCACATTCCCCCTTGGAGCCTGAGCAGGAGTTTTATTGCTTGGAAAGAGTCCCAGGGAAATGGGGTGGGAGGTGGAAAGCCCCTCCAAATGCCCCGCCTCCCAGGCCCACTCTGCTCACAAAGCTCAGTCCCCTGGTCCAGATCCCCCTCCCCCACGGCCCCAGGCCCATACAGGGGGAAACTGTCTCCTGGCAAAGTGGCCTCGAAGCCAAACCAAACACACTGAGTGTTCCCAGGCTCCGCAGATGGCTGGCACCAAGGGGCCGAGTCTGCTCTGAGCCGACGGGGCCCCTCGCATGGGGAAGGGCCCCACTGCTTGGCTGAAAGGCTGAAGTCCCGTTCTAGAATGCCTTTTGTCCCTGTTTGCCGTGTGACTTGGGGCAAGTCCTGTATTCTAGGCCTCAGTTGCCCTATGTGTACCATGAAAGAGCAGGAACAGACCCATGCATTTTAAAATGTTTTCTAGCAGCCGAAGCCAGAAGGGAGATCTTAGGCAGAAGCTCAAGGTGTAAAGCACAGAGAAGGAGGGCTGCCGCTCTGGGCACCCCAAGGGGCAGAGAGCCTCCTCTCTTGAGCCCGGGCCTTGGAAGGTGGTGGCTTTCTTCCCAATGCAAAGGGCTGCTGGCTGTGCCCTGGGTGACCTCCTCCGAGGCTTCCGGGGAGACAGAGTGGAGATGGGGCTTGGGCGTGCAGGGCCCTGCTGACAGGCGGTCCTGCTGCCTGGGGGTGCAGCTCTTGATGTGGCCCGGCTGGAGGAGACCCCGCTGCCAGTCTGGTCTGGCCTCAGCCTCTCCGAGCCAAGCGGGCTTTGCCCACAGCCCGATGTCGCAATGTCAAAGGCCCATGCCCGCCTCCACACCTTTGGCCTCACGGCCTTCTCTGGGGGCAGTGCCCTCCTCCTCCCCATGGCCCTGGCTGACTGATTCCTTCGCAGGCACAGGAACACTGACTGGGGCTCCAGGGCTCCTTCGGCCACACCGTGTTGGGGAGCTGTCCCTGCCTGGCCATGGCCTGAGACTTTCCCTGCTCTTGTCCCCACCAGTGTGTGGCCAGTGTGCTCCTGTTAAGCAGGGGGGCGTGGGCGGCACCCACCCAGTGGCTCACCGAGGGCTTGAAGCCTAAGAGGCGCTAAGGGCTCACGAGCAGCTCCTGCCGGGGTGGAGAGAGCGGAATCTGAGGCCAGACCGCGAGTCCCTCCAGCGGCGCTCTGGCGCTGGCTTACTGCTTAATAAGCATCCCCTCGTTTCCTCTCTAGTCCTCAAAGCGAGCACAGGGAAGGGCTGGGCTCTGAAGCCCATTCTGCCTGCATTTGTCTGTGCTTTTATTCACGGAATGATCCAGTTTCCCCTTTCTCATGGGGTATCTTCTACCTCTAATCCCATGGCATTCTAGCCTCACACAGAGACGCTGACCACGCTGGACCCTCCCAGGAGAAGGTCTGGCTTTACTGAGAGAAACTGGAGCTGGGGAGCTTGGGGCAGGATAGGTGGGCCAGCCAGAGGTATGCAGAGCCCTCCCAGGGGCCTAGGGGTTGGAACACTGTGTCTTCTCCCCTTCGAGGGGGCCCTGGCCACCTGCTCAAACCTCAGGGAAACCTAGGCCCAGAAGGACAATGACACATCGTGTGTGTGAGTGTGTGTCCCGCACGGTGCACCCACAAGGCCCTGGGTCCGTCCACACCGATGCGCACCTGTGCCTTGCTTCTGGCCACACCCAGCCCTCGGAAGGAGCTCTCTTCCCTGCCCCTGCCTCCTTGTGACTGTCCTTCTGTCCTGATGGCCCGGCACTCTGCTCCCTTGATTATGCACCCCTCCACCCCCATCGCGCGCACACATACCCCAGCCGTGGACAGGGAGAGCAGCAGAGCTGGCATGACCTTCGGAGGCCAGTCAAGGCCCTAACTGCCCAAAAAGAGAGACCGAGGATTGTCACGAGTCCCATATGGCACACAGCCAGTGGGAGCGAGCCCTGCCCTGCTGCCCGCCTCCTGGCCCTCTGATGTGGGGGTTCCCTGGGAGTTCCATGCTTGAGGCACAGCCATCTGTGGATACACGCTTGGCCCTTTCCGGGGGTCCTCGTAAATCACCCTGCCAAGGGCTGTGGCTTCCCTAAACTTCCTCTGGGGTGTTTCCGTCTCAGGGAATGAGGGGCGAGGGGAGGGTCAGCAAACCCCCAGCGAGGCCCCTGGTGGCCAGAGAAGTCCAACCCCACTCTGATGCCCAGGGTCCCCAGGCCTTGAAACACAAGTGAGGAATTGCAGCCCGTGTGAGTGAGGGGACTCCTACGGGGGCTGTGGGGTGTGGGGGAGGAGAGAGGGGACACAGCCAGTGAGGAGGGAGGAGACACTTTGAGGTGACGGCAGGAGGGGCATTTGCGTGGACATGGGCGAATGTGACCCTCAGTGTTAGACAGACCCGGGTGTGGGCTCTGACTCTGCAGCTCACTTGCTGTGTGGTCTTGGACGAGTTACCTGACCTCGCTGGGTCTCAGTTTCCTTGTTTGTCAAACAAAGCTTACTTCTCAGACTCCTGACAGGACCTGAGGCATGAGGACATAGGAGCCTGCCACGGTGCCGGGCACAGAGCGGGAGCTCGGCCGATGTCCCCTCGCGCCCACCCCCGGCAGAGAGAAAAGCAAGAACAAAGGTGGGAGGTGAGCCAGGCATGGCCCGCTGAGGGCGGCACGCAGCCTGGCCAGGACAGGGCCCACAGGAAGGGGAGCCTCGGGCCGGAGGGGAGACCTCAGCTCTGCGTCCCTGGCGGTGGCAGGGAGCACCGAAAAATCTCAAGCTGCTGGGGGCAGTGTGCTTGGGCAAGGGGTGGTCACAGGTGGAGGAGGAGCTGGGAGAGGTGAGGGATGGCTCTGGCAGGATTTGGGGGGAAGAAAACGAGAAAACTTGGAATGGAATCACAGCTCCAAGGAAAATGGTTTTGTTAGAGTGGCTACAAATGGGCCTTAGGTTCCCCCTCAGGTCCCTTAGGTTTCCGGTCCTCTGCTCCCCCTCAGAGGACCGGAAACTTGGAAACCCCAGGTGGGTGGGGTGAGTCCCCTGGGAGTGACAGAAGCTGCGCCCTCACCTAGGCCTCTCAAGGAGCTCAGGGCCTGCTTCCTTGAGAAGCATCGAGAACTCAAATGGGGTGCCCATCCGTGGAAACTTCCTTCTCCAACCCCACCAGATGGAAGAAAGCTAGCCAACCACAATTTACCTGTTAGGTTGGAGAAAGGGCTCCCTCTTGCCAAAGAAAAGCTATTTTCTTCTGAAACCAGGCTCTGTGTTTCAGAACTACGTGTTGTGAAAAGGAAACTGTTGGGAGTCGTTTGCCGGAATTTACCTTTCAGAAGCAGTTAGGGTCGGGGGTCTGTTGCTGGAGCTGACAGCCAGCTCCCTGGCCCCTCATGGGCTGGGCCCACCCCTGGCTGGGTCTCCTGGTTGCCCCAGCAGGTTGACGAGGGCCCTGAGTCACCCTCCCGACTGGAGCTTTCTATGGGCCCCCAACGCCTCTGTTGGCCCCGCTGCTCCCTGGGAGGCTGCAGGCCGTCCCCAGCGCTGAAGAAGTGGCTCTCTGACGCGACTCCCTGCCCGCGCTCCCGGGCCGGAGGGGGCAGCCCATGCTGGGCATGTGAGCCAAACATGTCACAGCTAATACAGTGACCACGGTGCCTCTGCCTTTGGGGGGCCAGGCTGGCCAGGGCTCCAAACAAGTCCATGTCCCACTAACCCAAGTCAGATGCTTTGAAACCAAAGCCCAAAGGAGCAATGGGCTCCACTCCTATTTGCTGGAAGTCTTTGTAGAATAGTGCACCTCCCAGACTTTAGAAGAGTGGACTGGACTGTGTCAACGTTTTGTCATTGACTCAGAGACCTGGCTGCAGGAGGACCATGAAGTCGACAGGGCAGGAGGCAGCCCCTGACGGCTTGTGTGACCCTGGACAGACCCCCTGCCCCACAGCCTGTAAATGCAGAACTGGGTCCACGTTCCCCAAAGCTGCTGAGAAGACTCTTGAGTGCGCATTCAACCCAAGGGCAGACTCAACACTCAGCTCCCCAGGCCCATGTGGTGCAGGGTCAGATTTATGAGGTCTATAGTGGGGCCTGGACATTTGTTTATTTACAGGTACCCCAGATGATTCTTTCTGGGGATGTGGAGGAAATCCCAGATGATGGTCTTTAGGGCTCAGGGGAGACTCCGAGTCTCCAAGGGCCCACTTCTGGGGCACGAGGTCCAGGGCTGGGCTACCATAGTGGGTAGGACTCTGACCTTCACTGACAGGGTGACATTGTTCTGGTGACACTGTTCACTACACACGGAGATTCCTACCCCAACGCGGAAGCTAGGGAGACTGTTCTGTACCTAGCCTGCAGGTGGAAGTTAGGAGATGGCATCCTGGTTACAGCAGGAGCTTTGGTGACAGGCTGAAAGGGATGGCAGGGGCACCCAGGCAGGGGACAGACAGGTACTGGCACAGCAGGATGATCTCTGCACCTGCCCATGCTCACCATTGTTCACCACAGATCCCCCATCCCCTGCCAAGATGGAGGATTAGCAGTAAGGGCAGTGGTCAGCCCCTGCCACCTCTTCTTGTAGAGTGAGACCCCCTGCACCCTCCCTGCCAGGGTGTCGCCCACTCAGACCTTCCAGGGACAGGGAGCTCACAACCTTTCCAGGTAGCCAGCCTGCTCTACTCGCTCCTAGTGTCACCGTCTGGCTCGTGGGACAAAAGGAGCCCGCTGTGCACCCCAGGTGCCTCCAGGGAAGCTAAAGGCAAAGCAGACTTCTGTCCAGTGCACCTTAGGGAAGTTTCTATTCCCTTACCTTTAGAATGGAAAGAAGTGTACTTGCTCTCATTTTGAGAATAAAAATGAAAAATCAGATGTGAGCATGCTCTGTAAGCCCTGCTGGATGACCAGGAGGAGGCTTTGTGAAGGGGGGAGGGTCAAACTATCCCAGAAGTTTCTGCTCAAGTACCCAGCTGGCCCACTTCCTCGGAGCAGGGCTCGTGGAGGAGAGAGGCCCCGGCCCGGGGCGGTGTGTGTGTGTGTGTGTGTGAGGCTGGCCGGGAGAGGTGGCCAGCCTCGCACGGGCCGGCCCCGCCGCCGCTCACCTGTCCTCGAGGCGGACCCACAGGTCATTGAACTGCCGTGGCCGCTGCTGCTTGTTCTGCCTCTTGTGCCACTTCTTCTGCCGCCCAAACTCCTCCAGCTGGCTGAGGCTGTCGGGGAGCAGGAGGTGTGGGGACAGGGCCGGGTCCTCCTCCTCAGGCGGCGCGGTGGGGGTGGCCGAGGGCGCTGCGGGGACGGCGGCGGCGGCAGGGGTGGCAGGGGCCGGGCTCGCCGAGGTCCCCTCGGCGGGGGGCGCAGGGCTCTGGGCGGCAGGGCTGGAAAGGGGCAAGAGCATGTGAGGGACTGTGTCACTCATGCGCAACAGCAAATGCCACCCAGCGGGAAGGCTGTCACCGCAGGAGGAAATGCTGGGTGCCCCTGCCACACCGGGCGAGGGTGTGTGCTGTGGAGAGATAGAGGGAGCTCTGCCTCCTTCTTTCATTGAGGGACCCCCTGCACCGGGCACTCTTCTAGGAATTGGGCAAAAGCAGTCTAAACTAGGTTCCTGTCCATTCTGAGCTTGCGCTCTGGAGCGGAAGATGGACAGTAAGGATGGCAGACGGTGGGAGCCCCGGAGGAGGGCAGGAGAGGGAGGGTGCGGGTGGAAGGTGCTAGGCGTGCAAGGGGGTCTGGTCACTGCCGGGTGACATCCGAGCCCAGACTCGTGGGAGGGGAGGGCGTGAGCCATGGGCAGTTCTCTGGGGGCATATCTGACCTTCGTCAGGGTCTTTCATTCCACAAACTCTGGCTGAGGGACTTGGGGCAAGTGACTAACTGCTGTGTCTCATCCCATAGCCCGTGCTTCCGAGGGGCATCATAAGGATTTCATAAGTTAACACAGGCAAAGCCCTTAGAACACTGACTGGCTTATAGTTAGCAGCTGAAATGTTTTAGTAATGAACATTATTCCTTGAATATTATTAAGTATTAATGTGGTTGCTTGTGTCACTCATCCAACCACCCACCCGTGCATTCAACATCTACCTCCTGAACACCTTTCTGGGGAGGCGGGACAGTGTTCGGCAAGTTAGAGCTCCAGCTAGAGGTAGACAGACGTGGGGTCACACCCGGGCTCTGCAGCTCACAGGCTGTGTGACCAATGGCAGGTGCCACAGTCGTCTGGAGCTGCAGGGAGCTGTAAGATGGGAGTAGTCATACCACTTACTTCATAAGCTTGTCACGAGGCTGAATGAGATGAGGTCTTAACACAGTGCCTGGCACATAACAAGCATTTCTTTAATGTTGGCCTACCAGCAAAGGGACTTGGCCGTAGGAGGCACTAAAGCATGGATTAGGTGTGTGTTCGTGGAATTCACATTCCATACAGCGCTCTATATACAGGTGTCTTGGCCCGGGAACATCCTCTGCTCGTCTCCCTTTTATTCTTTCCTCTCTGGCGCCCGAACAGACTTCCTCTGGAGGACCTCAGACCCTGGCGGAAGGCTGGAGGCGGCATGGGGACTATAAAGGTTCAGTGACACCTGAGGTGGCACAGAGCCTGTCCCCCTCCTCCTCTCCTGCATGCACGATGGGGTGAGGGGCTTCTCCCTCCTTGAAGGAGAGAAGGCCATCAGCTCAGCTTGTCTGTCCCCAGCCCCCACAGCAACCCCAGATTCCCAGGGTCCAGGAGATGTTGCAGCTGCTAGGGAGATAATTCAAAACAGGCGGACAAAAAGATGGATCCAGGAAGCACCTGTGGCCGAGGATGGCTTTTATTGTTGGGGTCTCCTCAGCATCCCAGCCCCTCAGCGCCCCCCCCACCCCGGGACTCCATCGTGTGCTGGAGACTCAGCCTGAGAGCTCTCAGAGCGGGGCCGAGCAGGGAGGGGGAGAGGCGGGGGACCTTCCTCTAATGCCTGGGCTCTGAGATGAATAGGAGCTGAGACAGCCCCACCGGCCTCTCTGCCCACCCTGCCTGGCCTGGGCAGACACAACGAGCTCCGAGATGAAGTCCTTGGGGCTGTGTAGGGGAGCGTGAGGAATGCCTTGTCCCCGAGGTTGCCTTGGGCCTCTCACTCCTCCAGCATACACCTGTGCTGGCCCAGGGCAAACTGCTTCATGCTGCACTCAAAGGTACAGGAGGAACAGTCTCATCAGGCTGACTCAGATGATCAGAAGAGGAAGGAGTCCAATGTGAGGGAGTTTTTAAGTTCTTCTAGAAGAGCCATGGAGACAGGGGTGAGCACTGGCCCAGAGCTAGGAGACCAGAGGCTCAAAGCTCTGGGCGAGGGGGCCTCATCTCTGCAGAGCAAGGAGCAAAGCCTCAGTCATTCCTGAGCACTCCCACTCCCAAGCCCACCTCCAGTCCCCAGAGAGGGGACGGGGAGTGGTTAGGAGTTTAGGGAGGCTCTAGAGCCAGACTGCCATTTATATGAGCTGTGTATCCCTCTGCTAGTGACTTTACCTCTCTGGGCCTCAAGTTCCTCAATTTTAAGATGGGGATACTCATAGTTCCTAACTCATGGAGCTGTTGTAAGGATTTAATGAGCTAAAAGTGCTGAGAGCCTGGTGTACCGTGAACCATCAATAAATATTTGCTATGATTGTTCAAACTTCTTTCTGACTCTGGCTCATGTCGTGTCCGAGACAGGGGCTGAAACTGCACTGTGGTCACCTTTGTGGGCTGGTGAAGAAGGTTCCTGCATTACGGTTGGAGCATGGGCTGCATGGAACTCCCAAGTTCGAGGATCCTGTCATTGCCCTCCACAGAGCTGCCCAGCTTGGGCTAACGCCCATCATGCCTGCCCTGGCACCGTGGGTCACAAGTGGCCCCTGCCCTCAGGGGACACCTAGCCTGGGGGGGGGACAGGAACCCCTCAGATGCCCAGTGATGGCTATCTGAGAGAGTAGGTGTGCCCTGGTGGGAAAGCAGGGGTAGGGGGCACAGCAAAGAGGTGCGCTCAAAGAAAGACGAGGACCAGGTGTGGGTGGGGCCGGGCATCCCCCAGGTGTCCTGCAGAGTCCTTCCACCCCCCGCTCACCAGGGTCTAAATCCTGAGCATCTCTCAGAATCTAACGCTCCTCCCATTCCCACTGCCCCAGCCCCCAACCTCACCTCCCAGCTTCCTTCCCAGTCCCCTCGCCTCCAGCCCAGCCCCTCCACTCTTGGCTGCCTGGTCACAGCCTGTCCTTACGAGGCTTCTTCATAACTTGCCCGCAGGCCTGAGCAGGAAGACAGGGTGCAGCCCAGCCATGCAGCACGGGGTCCGGCGGGCTTCGTGGACGGTGGCAGCAGGCCAGCCAGGCCCGTGCCCCCAGACGCCCCAGCTGCTCACCTGCGGATGGTCTGCCCCGCAGGTGTGTGCAACACCTCCAGCCCTGCTTGCCGAAGGACGTCGATGACCGTGTTGTTTCCCAGGAAATGACCTAGAACACGAGAGACAGAGTGGACTCAGCCACATGCCAAGTCACCGGCAACTGGGGACAGCCTCAGGCCAGGGACCAATGCCAAAGGTGGTACAGTCCTGGGGCCAGCTCGGCATGGGCCCAAATCCTGGCTCTGCTGCTCACCCGTCCTACGTCGCCAGGCCCCAGTTTCTGCGTCCCGTTCCTCTGTGGAGTGGGAATGATGCTAACAGCAGCCTGCACGTGTTGGGAGCATGGCGGGAACGGTGGCTGGCACTGCGGCAAAGGGTCACAAGTGTTTCCTGTGGCATCACTGCGCCTCGTACCCTGAGGCTGACCCCAGGCCCAGGCTGTAATAACCTGCGGGGCTGTCTCTGGGCACAGGTCCCAGGTGCCGGCAGTGGCCACCACAGTTTTATACCGAAAAATAAAGTGAATTAAGCCTGTGTAAAACAGACAACAGAAACAAGCGGCCGACAGTGGTCATGCAAGGCCCAGCTCCGAGAAAACCTCCTCCAAGAAGCCCTCAAGCCCTCAGCAGGTCTGTGGTTCATCTTCGTAGGTTCCACCAGCAGCGCGAGGCTCCCTCTCTTAGCACGGCGGTGGGTTCTGTGTGTTCACGTCTGTCTCCCCACCAGGCGCCACAGGGCAGAGGATGGATTCATGGACTCATTTGTTCACTTTCTATCCATCATTCAGGGACCACCCATTACACCCCAGGCCCCGGGGTGGCCCCAGAAGGCTCACTAGGCGTCAGATTCTGGAGAAGGAGAGAGCAGCGCGTGGTTGCGACGGCCGCAGGTGCAGCCGACAGAGGCGGTGGCTCAGAAGGGGTCTAAAGCCGGAGCCGAACACCACCAAGCTGGCCCCTGCTGGGGGGGACGGTCTTCATCTCACCCCAACCCCTTAATCATTCATCCAACACACGCTTCTGCTGCACTTACTCCGAGGCCAGCCCTGGGCCGGTGGCTCAGAATACAGAGGCCTCGGCCCCAGATGGTCCCAGAAATCGCTCTCCTTCGGCAGGACTCGGGCAGGAGGTCTGCGAACACAGAAGGCTCTCCCGGCCTCCGGTTAGGAAGGGTCCTCGGGAGGCTAAGTGACTGGAGGCGGTCTCTGCTGGGAATCAGTACCCTGGCAAGCCTCTCGTCCTCCCTGGGCCTCGGTCCCCCCACCTGTTTGATGTGGGCAGAGTGGCAGTGGCCCCTTGTCGCCTCCTAGCCCGTGTGCCTGCCCTGCGGCCCCACTCACACGGGCAGCACGTTCCCCTCCGCTCCCCATTCAGCCCAGAACCTGGGGGGAAATCCCTGTGCCATTACTCTAATCGCCTGTGACAGACGGTGACAGGTGGGAAGCCGGAAGGTCAGCACGCTGACAGCCCCAGGGGGGTCTGAGGAGAGCAGACAGGACAAGCTGGGTGGGAACGGAGAGGCTCCAGCACAGAGGGGGTGAGGCTGGGACTGCAGAGCAGGTGGATGGGGGGTGAGCCTGCCGCACTCTGCCGCCCATCCTGCACACCTCTGGGCCAGCTTCTGCGCTCTCGAGCTGGCCTGCCCCTGTCCCTGGAGTCCACCTTGGGATTACCGAGAAAGACCACTGGTCTGGGAATGAGAGACGCGGCTTCTAGTCCAGGACCCACCTCACTCACTCTGAGACCTCGGGCAAATCCATTATGCTCAAATGCTCTCGATGTCTCTGTGTACAAGGGAGGGATCCATGGGCTCCCCTGGCTCTCAGACTCTATGGCGAAGGCTTTGGTTTGACTCCAGACACCCCGACGAAAATGTATTCTCCCTCCCTTCTTCCCTTTCTTTACCGATTCAGTTCATTAATCTGACAAACATTGAGCAAGTGGACATCTAGTGCCAGCCAGGGGTGAAGAGACAGGGGCCTGTTCCAGGCACTGGGTCTCAGAATCAAGGTCTTTTGATCGGGGCTAAGTACTATGCGGAGGGAAGCACAACCTCAAGTCAGGGCAGACTTCCTGGAGGAGGCAGTGATAGCTGAAGGGTGGGATAAGAATTAGCCAGGTGAGGATGGGAGTTGGGCACGGGGTGGGGGGTGTTCCAGACAGGGGGAGCGGCATGTATAAGGTTAGGAGATAAGTGAGGCTCATCCGGGAAGCTGACTGCAGGACACAAACAGACACACAGGCATGAACAGTCCCTCCCAGGGCCCTGGCCTTCACCCAGTCCTGTTGAGGACGGAGACCTAAGCTCCTGGAATGGCTATGAGTCTCCTGAGCAAGTGGCTTTCCTGCCCCCAGCCCCAGTCTTCCCGAGTGTCAAATGGGCATGCATCCCTTCAGGGGGCTGTAAGGTCCTGATGAGGCAGGACGAGTGACTGTCCTTTGGAGAAGCCCAGCGTGCACTCCTGGGTGACACGCTAAGCCAGTCTTCGGCGGGACCCCAGAACCGTGCCCATTCTTGCCCACCCTGCAAGTGTGACGGAGCTGGGACCGGGCCTGGGCACGGTGGCCTTTGGCACACGGGCTGCAGGAACTCACTGCCAACAGTTCTTGGAACTGACTTCTGGCAGCAAAGGCAATTCCTTCCCTGCCTCCATGGAGACCCTTTAAAGGCGAGGGCCTCCAGGCCCAGCAGAGGTCTGCCCTGAGGATGTCAAGTGCCAGGAGGGAGAGCAGGCTGCTGCAGGCTGCACGGGAGCAGCACAGAGTATTTACCGAGCAGTGTGACCTGCTCTGAAAGGAACATTCCTGATGCTGGTGGAGGCGGTGTTTGGAAGGGCCCAAGCCTTACAGAGCTCCAGCTGGATCCCAAGCGCTGCCTGACGGCGTTTCGGGGTCTGGTCAGCGCCCCATCCACGTCCTCAGCCTCAGCAGCTCAAGACCCTGAACAGAAGACTTCAGATACTTTGAGAAACTAGTTGGAAGCAATCAGCAATGAGTTTTTCAAATCCCATCTTTCCTTCTCTAAGCCACACCCACCTTCACTTCCTTCCCTGTGGGGCAGAGAGACCACTGTCTGCACCCCTCTCCCCGCCCTCCCCTGCCCCGGCAAGAGGCAGCTCCCGCACAGCTCCAGGGGGCGGCCCCCCCGAACCCCCGGCCCAGGACGGCACAGACCAGCCATCCATTCCTGAGCCTGTGCTCCCAGCACGGCCCCAGCCCTGCCCTCTCTGGGCCTGACTTCACAGGACCCCACGACACTTCTCTTCGTAGCCCTTTCACTGTCCCGTGTCCCCTACCATAGCGTCCTGCTCCCCCACAATCTGTGGACAAACCATCCACCATGTGGTTTCAATGACCATACAGTGCAGACCACTCTGGAACTACCACTGCTCTAGCCCAGACCTGTTTGTCCGGCGGCCTACTGGACATCTCCACCTGACAGCCCCCAGAGCCTATAAAATCCAGCTCACCCTCCCCTCCCAGGATGTGTCTCAACTGAGCTCTGTTGTCCAAGTCACATGGGCCCTGTCTTGACCAATCAGTGACTGGAGTGCCCCTGATTTTTTCCTCCTAACCATGCTTGACCAGCCCAGGTCACCATCAGCTTCTGCCTGAGTCACTGCAGACATGGCCTTCCTTGTTAACTCTGCAGCTGGAATGATCTTCCCACGCTCCAGAGATGCCCCTGTCAGAACTCGTTCCCAACAAGTCATTAGAGGGGAGACTGTGAGTTTTTCGAGGGCAGGAGCCACATCTGATTCATCCTTGGCCCCAGGGCTAAGCCCGAGTCTGGCCCCCAGTGGTGGCTTCGTGAATGTTTGTTGAATGAATGAATGAATGACAAGACCTGTTTCTCCATATCCTTGCCGTGATCTCATCCTAGCCCCAGAAGACTTGAGCTCACAGATCCGCTTCCCTTGTAGCCCCCGCCCAGACTCCTGGGGATGCTCCAGCAGATCCCACCAATCCCAGGAGCTTGGGCCTTGCACCAGCCCAAGTCAGGGCCCCGTGCCCACTGTCCCCAGGGGCTGGCAGACAGGGCCTAGGCTTGCCTCCAAGGTCACAAATCCCAAAAAAGTCACCACACCCATCCTGGAACCTGCAGGGAAGGTGTGGCAAGTTTCCAAAGGGGCCCTACAGTGTTGGGGCTTGCCCAGGCTCCTGGGGTCTCCTGGCCACCGCTCAGCCGCTCCTTCCAGCACTGACAGCTGTTTCTGGCCCGCTCTCCACAGGGAGGCACGTTCCCTTTCATCCGCTGAGGCTACATGGACGAGGAGAGGAGGGAAGAGAGGGAGGACAGTGAGGGGCGGGGCGCGCAGAGCCACAGGGACAGAGAGTAGGGGAGAGGAGACAACAGAGGGGCCGGGAGAGAAGAGAGACTCTCCCAGGGAGAGACCGGGAGAGGGAGAGAGCGCCAGGACACAAGGAAACAGAGAGAAGACAGACAGATGAGAGGGGGAGAGAGGGGCTGGGAGACAGCCTGTCAGAGACTCAGAGACAGCGGGAGGGAGAGAGGGAAAAGGAGAGACACTGAAACAGAAAGCAAGAGATAGAAAAAGACAAAAACAGGGCAGAGATACAAAGAGACAGAGATAGAGAGGGAAGAAGAGAAGAGAAAAAGAACCCAGAAAAGAAAACATGGGGCATGGCGGTGGAGAGACTAATCTACTGAGGATATCACGGAAGGCTTCCCGGAGGAGGGACCCATGTAGCCAGGACTCCCAGGATGGGTGGGATGGAGGGAACATACGTGGTGGCGGGGCAGGAGGAGGACTATAGATTTGTAAAACAGTGGGGCTGGTTTGGTGATTGTCTCCCGGACCCCACAAGCCACAGTACCATTAAAGCACATTCATATACAAACAGGGGAAGTGTCCTGCTCCCAGTGGGCACAGCCCCATGATGTGTTAGTGCAGAGAAAAGGCTCCCCTTCTTCCAGGTGTAAGCAGGCCAGGGCATCAGACTCGGCAAACGGAGCATAGGCTGGATCTAGCCTCTACCCATCAGCTGGCCTGGCCAGCCTGGCAGCCCCCATTTACCCTCCCGACATGGGAAGGCAGGGTAAGGCAGAGCAAAGAACCCTGTTGTGGGGTTAGAACAGAAAACCTCG